TCAGGATAAATGATCCCTTCCCCAGATTGTTGTCATATGTGGTGCTGGGGATTGAATCCAGGGCCTCAGGCTTGCTAGGCAATTGTTCTGCCACCGAACTGTACTCCACCCCCCAAGCTTCTTATGATCTCTTTTCTCAATCTCTAGGAAACATATGTAAGCCATTTGCAATAAGACAAAGAAAGGTCCAGCCACAAGTGGCCTTAACAAACAAAATTAAAAAGTGGGTCAGCCTTGTACCAGCCCAAACTCCTAGATTCAGTTACTCAGTGACTGCTCCAAGGCCCACAGATGGCTCAAGATACAGAAACATGAGAGCACCAATGTTCTAAAGCCACAGAGCAGCAGGGCGACACTGCTGTCCTGCAAGAAGTCAAGCTGTGCAGCTCCTGTTGGACTTCCTGTGCTGCTTTCACAGGCATCACATCAGCCCTCCTGACCTCCCAGGCCTCCCTTTTCCTCAGGCCTTTGCCCAAGGCTCCCACTCTTCCTTTTCCTTCCGACCAACCTCACTTGCCTGAAGGAAGCCAGACTTCTATTTTTAGAGCTTTTAGAACAAGGCAGTGCAAATGAGCATAGAAAGCAAAGGGAAGGGACAGGACACACCATTTGGGTCCCCCAAAGTTTCCTTCCTGTTGACTCCTTAAAGCCTTCTTAACATCTCCCCCCAAAACCACACCTCTCTCTGTCTCTCTGACTCTCCCTCTCTCTCTTTGCTCTCTCTGCCTTTCTTTCTCTGTCTATGTCTCTCTCTCTCTCTCTCTCTCTCTCTCACACACACACACACACACACACACACACACACACACACACACCACTTCTCCACCCTTCTCTATGACATACTGGTTCTTCTACAGCAATGTCTAAGTTGGACCACAGTTCACATGGATGCAAAGGCCAGAGCCCTCTTCAGGGAAGTAATGATCCTGAGGTCATCCTGCTGAGCTCAGCCCTTCAGTTCTTTCAGTGTCATCAGGTTCTTAACAAGCATGCACTCATTAAGTGCACCCCCCTGGGAGGCCTCCACAGTGAGACCCTGCGGGGCTACCTACCCAGCCTTTTCAAGACCACAGCACTGCACAGCACAGCACAGCACAAGTGGGAATGGGACCCCTGGTGTCCCCACTGCAGCCACCCAGAGCCCAGCCAAAAGATTCCTTGTTGCTGCTGCTACATCGACACCCCAAGTGAAACTGAGGGCAGAGCTTGAGACATCTGTCTCATCCTTTCCTGTGGCAGCCCAGCCCAGGATTCCTGGACCCTGAGGACATCACTGCTCTTTTTCCTGCTTTGGATTTTCATCTTGCTCCTCCCTCCAGGCTTATGGCTTCAGAAAGAAGTTTTCTCATCCACTTAGCCTGTTGCCCTTGTGGTCTTGCTTCTTAATTCTCCAAAAAGAAGTCAATGACCTGCTCTATAAAATCTCCAATGGCCCCCTTCTGCCTGACTTGCCCTAAGTGATTAAGGGGAACCCAAGGTAGAGAAGACTTAAGCCCACTCCAGAATTTGAACAGATCAGGTGAGTCCAAGAGCCCCAAACCCCGCGAGGCAAAAGTTAAGAAGAGGACTTGGAGGTGGAAGAGGGTATGTAGCTCAGTGGTAGAGCCCTTGCCTAGCATGCGCAGGTCCTGGGTTCAATCCCCAGCACTGAAAAATAAGAAAGAGTGGGAAATCCAGCCTCTCTCCCCCCAGATCTTATCTGTCACCTCTTTGGTAAAGACAGGCAGCACTGGGAATATCGTTAATAGCTGTGACAGGCTAAATAATGACTGCTCAAATGCTATCCAAATCCTAATCCCTATAAACTGCAGGTGTGACCTTACATGGTAAAGAAAGGACTTTGCAGGTATGATAAAGTTGGGTATCTTGAGATAGGGAGATTATTCTGGATTATCCAACTGGTCCTTAAGTGAAGTCATATGAATCCACTTATACATAATGGAATATTACTCAGCTGTAAAAAGAATGGAATCCTGGCATTTGTAACTGTATGGATGGAACTGGAGATCATTGTGTTAAGTATAATCCAGGCACAGAAAGACAAGTACCGTACTCAAGTATCTCAGTCAGGAGGAATTAGATGTTAAGAGTAAAATGGTGGTTACCAGAGGCTGGGAAGAGAAGGGAGGTGGCGGGTGGGGTGGGGGGGTGTGGTAGTGGTGGTGAGAAAAGGTTATTCACTGGGATTAAGCTGCAATTAGATAAGAGCAAGGAGTTCTGGGGTAGGGCTGCCAGAGTAGCTCAAGTGGTAGAGCAATTGCCTAGCAAGCATGAGGCTGAGTTCAAACTCCAGTACGGCCAAAAAAAAAAAGAGAGAGGGAGAGAGAGAGAGAAGTTCTGGGGTGCTATTGCAGGGTAAGGTAAATACAGATAACAACAATGTTCTGTATACTTCAAAAAGCTAGAAGAAAGGATATTGACTCTTGTTTTTACCATAAAGAAATGGTAAATGGAACTGAATGGGGTGGGACATGTCTGGAATGACAGCACTTGGGAGGCTGAGGTAGAAGGATTATGAGTTTGAGGCTAGCCTGAGCTACATCACGAGTTTGAGTTCGGCCTGGGCTACATAGTGAGACCCTTTCTCAAGGGGAAGGAAGGAAGGAAGGAAGGAAGGAAGAGAAAAGAAAAGAATGAGACCTTAAAGTCAAACCCCAATAATGCCAAACAGAAAAGAAAATGATATATATTTGAAGAGATATCTAACCTAACTGAAACATCACACAGTGTCTGTATGTACTGAAACATTGTATGGTACCCTATTAATATGTACAATTTTTATGTGTAGTTAAAAAATAACTTACTGCATGTATCCTTCTAAGAAACATGCAGAGGGAGATTTGGTACAAAGGGAAGGAAGACAATACAGAGATGGGAATGAAGTAGCCACCAGCCAAAGAGTGCCAAGCAACCACCAGAAGGAAGTATGGAGTGGATTCTTCCCTACCTCCTCCATGGGGAACACAACCTTGCTGACGCCTTGATTTCAGCCAGCTGATACTGATTTTGGACTACTATTTTCTAGAATTGTGAAAGAATGAATTTCTAGTGATTCAGGCCACCCAGTTTATAGTTAGTTTTTTCAGCAGCCTTAGAAAACCAATACAGTAGCCATCACTTAATGACTGCCCACTATGCACCAGGAACTGCTCTGAGTATTTTACCCACATTGAATCAGGCACATCCTGGCCTGAGATAGGAGGCCTGGCTGGGCAGACACAATGCCTGGGTTTCAATCACAGCTTACTATTGTGATCATCAGCAAGTTATGTAAGCTCTCTAAAACTCTCAGTTCCCCAAGTCAGGCAGATAGCACCTCCCTCATTAAGTTGCTAGGAATATAAATTGGGTCATAAAGTGCTTGGAATGGAAAATAGTAAGAACTCAATAAATGGTAGCTATTATGAGATCGCAGGAATTGAGCAAGCCAAAATCAGATAGTCACACTAAGCTGTGAAGACCTGGGCAAAGTCTCCTGACCTCAGTGCAGGAAAAAAATGGCCCCATAAAGTCCCTTGAACAGCAAATATGACAGTAGAAGGAGTCCAGGTAGGTATTTCTTCTCTTAATTAAGCAATTTATTTCCTTAATGCTGGCCTCATTTCAGAAAGGCAGATGCCTGGCTGGGACTATGCTAATTCTACCTATCTACCTCCAGTTCTTGGGAAGATATATGCACATCACCATTTTTAGGAGGGACCTACCTTGCAGTGCCCACGCCTGACACACCCCTGCGGAGCCCACCACATCTTCTCCCTGTAATTCTGGCATCCAGAGTTAAACCCGCATGACTTGGAAGTCAGTGGAAAGGAAACCTTTGGTTCACTTTGTGGCCTTTTGCACAAACTGTGGCCAACCCCATTCCAGCCTGTCCTCGGAGGCTGGGTGGGATGGTGAATTCAGGAGTCTGCTTTGATTAAGAGGTTACAGCCAAGGTGGTAAAGAATGAACAATATTCACCCAGGGGGATGAGGATGTCCAGAGCTATCGCCTGGAAAAAGAGAAGAAAAGAACTTTCCTGTACTTTCCTTGCCCTTTCTCATAAAGTTTGCCCAACTCTCCAGTCCAGGTGATGCAACTGAAAGATGGAGAGGAGCAGCGTCCCTTAGGTCCCCTCCTAAGGCATGTGCACGTCAGGTATTAGGGGAGAAGGGCCTGGGCACCGGCCCTGGGTCCCTCTCGGGCAGGATTCCAGCCCCCTGGACTGAAGTCCACCGGCTGCAGAGGACGCGTGCTGCTGCTGCCCCGGGCGGGACTGGCAACCAGGCCTTGTCCCAGCAGGCTGCACCGGCAGCCACCAGTGCTCCCTCCGCCTTTCCCTAGCCCACCCTCCAAGAGGAAGGAGGAGGAAGAAAGGCAGCTCCCCCTCCTTACTTTCAGGCACCCACAGATTTCTGCGTTGCCGTCACCACTGACGAGAACCCTGGTCCCCTGGAGGAATCGCTTCTCCTTCTCATCGCATCCTCCCCATCAATGAACACGCAGCAACACCCACGATCCCGCTCCTCCTACTCCAAGGGAGACCGAACCAGAGAATGACATCCGGAGCTGGAAGCCGCTGCAGCGGGGTGGCCGGCCTCCCTGCCCCGCAGATCCCCTGCCACCAGAGATCCCAAGCCGGCTCAGCATTCCGGATGGAGAAGGTGCCCGAGTCCTCCGAGGGGCCCCGCCTCCCCAGGAGAATCAGCACCAGGGAGCGCGCAAAGACCAGTTAGCTCCACCCGTAGGGCTCGGGCACTGAGCTGAACACCCTACCTGGGACTCGAACCCTGACCCCTAGCTTTAGACATCGCAAAGGAAGCCCCCAGCCCGGCACTCTCGGGCCGCCTCTTCTCCAGCACCCGCGCAGACTGGAGATGCGTCCGGCCGCCCGCGCGACCATCCTGCCCCCAACAGGTCGCGGGCAGCTGGGAGCGCCCAGCCCGACACAGGCGAGCCGGAGCGAAGCCGAGGGCGGCGGGCGGGACGGAGGGTCACCCGGGGTGGAGCCGGCCACTTACGCGCGGGCTCTAGGGAAGCCCATGGAGAGCAGCACGTCCAGCGCCGATCCATGCTTGATGGTGCCCGGGCGCTGCTGGCGGTTCCTCCGGGGGGTGACTTTGCTGTACAGCTCCTCTCTCGCGGCCATGCCGAGTGCGCTGGGGTGGCCGTACTCAGCCATGGCTCAGCGGCCGGCCATCGCCGGGGAGGACGCCCGAGCCCGATGGTCCGGGAAGCAAGAGCAGGGGACGGGGCTCGGCCACCGAGAGCCAGGCGGGAGGTGGCGGCGGCGGCGGCGGCGGCGGCGGGGGCGGCGCTCCGAGCTTCCCCAGTGTCGAGACTCTGACGCTTCCTGGTGAGGCCACCTAGCCAGACGCCTGCCAGCAGCTTCTGTGGGACCTGCAGCCCACCGGCCCGGCCCCCGGTGTCCCCGCGCTGCGCCCGCAGTAGCCCTGTGTCCTCCGCCCCCTTCCTCCTCGTCTCTCCGAGCAGTCCGGGAATTTGCAATGAGTAATTTTTGAATGGATCAAAAAGGGAAAAGAGCCTTGTGGGCTGGCTCTGCCTTGCCTGAACCGGGCCCCGCCCCTCTCTTAAAGCGGCAGCGCGGTCCGAGGCGGCTGGGGACTGGGTTGGAGCTGTCGGAGCTGCTTCTAGGATCTGGGAACTGTGCTTCAGTTCCCAGAGCTCCAGCCGGGTCCTTGGCTTGCATATCGGCCTGTATGGGTCTCAAGACTCCGCAACAACCCATTACAAGTTTCAATTGGTTCTTGGTGGGGTTAATAGTGAAAATCCAGTGCAGTGATGGGTGACATTAATGGACCAAAAAGCCAGCTCCAGCTCAAAGGTTTTGCTTGAAAAAGGTCCTACAAAACCTACAGGATTGTTAGGGCCATTAGGAAGTTGAGTCACCATCAGTCCGCCAAGGAACTACGTTAAGATCTACTTTGTTCTCCAAGACTGTGGTCAGTGGAGAAAGTGGGACCTTTGGCTCTTGTAACTGGCAGGACCTGGGAGGAGACAGGACAGGGTGGAAGGAAGAAGACAAGGGAAGAAGTAAGGAGGAAGGAAGAGGAGAGGAAGGAAGGGCTGTAGCTAGAGGCAGAAGGAACAGAGAAAGAACACATTCTACTTACAGGAGTTTGAAATGGAATGGGCTGATTTTCAGGAGAGAGTGAGCATACTCTCTGGTAACAAAAGGATTTAAAGAAAAGACTGTATCACCAGTGCAAGGAACCATAAGTGAGTTTCGTCACAAGTTGGACCAAACACCTCAAAGAAGGTGAAAGCCATAACTTCTGTTCCCCAGGCCCCACACACACCATGAACTTGGCTGAGGCAGCAAGGCTCTTTCATCCCAGGACAAAGTCATTGTCCTCAGTCAGGGGCTGAGCCCACTTGGTTGTAAGGAAAGAGACCCTCGTTTTCTGGGGGGAGGGGTAACAATAACAATAAAACCTAACATTTATTGGGCTCTTGAATGTGCCAACCATTGTGTTAAGCATAACGAATGAATTAACTCATTGAATTTTATGATACCCTGTTGGGTGTGTTCCTTTATTATCCCAGTTTTATAGGTGAGAAAGCTCAGTGTAGAGGCTGAGCAAAGTCACAGAGCTCATTCTGACTGTGATGCCTTGGACAAGTTACTTCTCCTTTCAGTAGTCCTGAACTGAGCACCCATGGTTCATGCCTATAATCCCAGCTACTTGGGAGGCTGAGATCAGGAGGATCGAGGTTCCAGACCAGCCTGGGCAAATAATTTATGAGACCCCCATCTCCAAAAAAAAAATAATAATAACCAGACCAAAATGAACTGGAGGCATGACTCAAGCAGTAGAGCACCTGCTTTGCAAGCTCAAGACCCTGAGTTCAAACTCTGGGCCCATCCAAACAAAATAAAACAAAGCAAAACAGACCTGTTGTCACATTGTCTGGATTATGGTCACCTAGCAATGTGCACACTGATTGTATAGAAACCTGAGCCTCTTCCTACCCATTCCTTGCTTGGGGTTGAGGGGAAGGATGGTGACCATTACTCAGGAAATGGCCTTTTGATGGTGCTTTATAAGGTATCCAAAGATTCCCCAGGGGAGATGACATAGCTTATTTTCCTGATCCCACCACCACCACCATTGGTTTTCTTCAAAATATCCTGTGGCATTTGGAAGTAGGAGATATGACAGCTACAACCTGCACATTTCTGCCTGGTGCTGTGTAAAGAATACTTCTTGGGTGAGACCGTTCATACTTCTTCCAGAGTGGAGGGGAGGTTCTAGAGACCGTTTTGAATGCTTTTTCCAGGGCACTGAGCAAGAAGACCAGAATGGGAAAACCATACCTGGTAGACTGAGCCTCCTTTGGGATGTGTTCAGTAAAGCCTGCTGGACAGCACCCAATATTCTAAATTTTTTCCAAATGTCTGGGCTTAGAGTCAAATGGTCTGGATCCTAGTCAAGAGAAAACAATGTCTGTGGAAGCGCTTTGTGAACCACAAGCACTACACAAATAATAACTCAAATTTATTGAACACGTACTTTATGCTGGTGCTGTTCTTAGCTTCTTACACTTGTAGCTCACTTAATTCCTTGAGAAGACTGAAGTAGATGCTGCCATTTTTTATTGTCATTTGTTTTCATCTCTAAGTGTGTATCTCATAACTTTTATGCATCTTTTAATGTTCTTTGACCTCATTGATTATTTTGCAGTGAGAGTTTTTTTGTTTTAAAATTTTTGTTTTATTCATATGTGCATACGATGTTCGGGTAGATGCTACCATTTTGTAAGCACTTTACAAATGAAAATGCCGAAGCAGACAGAGGTCAAGTTCCTTGTCCAAGATCACATAGCTACTAACTGGCAGAGGTAAGATTTGAACTTTTAAAATTTGGCCAAGCCACTCATGGCCAGTGTTGTAATAACAAAGAGATTGTCAACTTTTAAGACACCTAATCTTAATTCCCTTGTTTTGTTTTGGTTTTTTTTTTTGAGACAAGGTCTTCCTATGTTGCCCAGGATGGCCTCAAACTCATGATCCTCCTGCCTCAACCTCCTGAGTACTGAGATTGACAAGGAATTGCTATAGCTCTCTTTCTCCAGAAAGGTTGAATTGTCTTTCTCTGTCTCTAGGCAAACTGTGAGATAGAAGAAATGATGGGCAGAAAAATAGTTTCACATAACCTGGAAAAAGCACGATGGACAACCAGGTACCTTCAATGTGAGCTGTTTGGTCTGGGCCATATTTACTAAGGTCCCAGCATGGCTCCTCACCCTTCTACTCAGTGCCAAGACTTGTCTCATTTGGGGTGGCTGCCATTTGTTCTGCACACAGCTGGAGGGCTGGCAATTAAGATGCATTGTGTCTTAATCGTATTGACTTTGAAAAGGGAAGAGAAGCTTTATAAACATCTATATTGTTATGTTACAAAGAGAAGGAGTATGACTATTCATCTGACAGTGCATTTACAGCACTGGGGAGGGAGGAGGCGGGAGGAAGGCCTTGCACAGCACAGTGATGGTTCTGACACATCAATATTAAACTACTCCCTCAGAAGGGAAGGCAAGTTGCGGTGTCCCAGTGCCTGGTCATGTCGGAATCCACTCTGGACCACAAAGACCTTTTGTTTGTGTGAGCATGTTCTCATTCTAAGCTACTGGCTCAGTCACTTTCTTGGTATAGTAGCTTATCAGAAATGACCATTGGGAGTCCCAGGATGTGCCCAGTTGTCATTTCTAAAGTATGTCCTGTGTCTTTCCCTTCTCCTTCTCTCAGAACTGGAGAAAAAGTCAAATGATTACATTAAAAACATGAAGGAAAGCCCACAGGCTATTTCCAGTTCTGAAGTCTGGCTGTTGCCTTGTTGGATGACCTCTAACTTCTCAGAATGACTTTAGCTCTTGGGCTTCAAGGGGGTTCTTCATGGGCAAAAGATTTTGAAGGCAGGTGCTGGTGCTCCATGGGCACCAGCTTGAGAGCCTGTGGAATGAGGGGCTTCACTTAATCTGATGATCCCCAGGATTTTGGAATTTGGGAACTCTTTGGGAATTGGGAGTAAGATTACCTAACTGGATGTTGGGTAGGTAAAGTTCTTGCTTCCTCTTTCAGAACAATTATACATTATCAACTTTATATTTTGGGGAGTTTTATACAAGGTTTTCTATGAGAAACAGATTTGGAAATTAAAAAAAATTTTTTTTGAAATCCACAGAACTAGTTTTTTGATACACTCTAATTGAGTAAGATGAAAGCAAAGGAAAATGGAGTGGGCTTTCCCCATGGAAGGAAGAGGTCACTAGGACAGAGAGACAAGTGAGAAGTGGGTTGGGGAGAGAAGGGAAGAGCCACGCAGGGGTGCTGGAGTGAAATGGACTTTATAAGGTCATGTCAGCCTTCTGTTGCCCCAAGCACAACTGTTGCCCTATGTTTTTTTTGTAATTTCTCCAGTGACATAGTTGGATTTGTATCCTGCCCCAATCTTGTTTATCTATGAGTACAGAATGCCTGTGGGCCAGAAATCCCTCCTGAGGTGGCTAGCCAAACCAGTTGGGTCTAAGATGGCTGCCAGAGTGACCCCGCCCCCAGACAACCTCAACTCCAGGTGCTTATGAAATGACACTCCACCCCACCCGCCAGTGCTGTGACAATTGGCCATGATAAGAATAGGAAAAAAACAGTAAAAGGAGCAGAAAAAAGTGGCAGCTGACTAAATATGCCCATTCCCAGAAAAAGACATGGGTATTCCTTCTCTCCCTTCGTTTGTTCATTCATTCCTTCATTCCTTCCTTCTTCCTTTCTTTCTTTTTTTAGAGAGAGGGTCTCCTTTCTCCCTTTAGCCCAGTCTGGCTATGATCTTCCTGTCTCCACTTACAGAGTTCTGGGATCACAGGTATGTGTCACAACACCCCTCTATTCCTCTTCCACATTAGCTTATCCTTCTTCTCATTTCTTTTGTCCTATATCTATAACCTATAAACTCCTGACCCCAACAGGAGAGAAGTTGATCTGAGACTTTAGCTCTCACTCCTATTCTTGGCTGACAATAAAAGTCCCCTTGTCTGTTTAATCAACTCTTTTTTTTTTTTTTTTTTCTTCTTTTTTGGCAGTACTGGGGTTTGAATTCAGGGCCTTACCCTTGCTAGGTAGGCACTCTACCACTTGAGCCACTCTGCCAGCCTTGTTTTTTTGTGTTGAGTTTTTTTGAGATAAAATCTCATGAGCTATTTTCCCAGGCTGGTTTCAAACTGCTATCCCCCTGATCTCTGCCTCCTGAGTAGCTAGGATTACAGGTGTGAGCTACCTGGTACATGGCTGTTATTTGATTTGTGAAGCCAAGTTACACAGTAGAAAAGATCATGGATGAAAGTTTGGGACATTAGTGAAAACCAGTAGAAAGCTTACATTTTTCTCACTTATTGAAAAAAATTGAGGCACTCCCCTCAATTGCAAAAGGAAGAAAGAAGGGAGAGACTGTTTTTATTGCTTGATTTGATTTGGTTTTCGCCCATTTCTGA